CGTTTTGGTTCTCAGTTTGAACCTTCTTCAGTAACCTTAATGAAAATGCTCATGTACATACAAAGATAAATATAAATACATCGTTCGAACAGATGCCGCACGGGTGTTATTTAAATTAATCATTGCAAAAACGCATAGAAGTCAGACAACTTGTCGCAGCCGAGACTGGATGAAATTGTTAATCTATCCTTGTAGATTGGCAAACCGTGCCCCACAATTGGTTGAACAGCCCCTTGTATACAAAAAATTTCAGTTAGTGCAACCAAATAGGAACCAACTGATAATTAGGCGATCAAAAGCGATATCTCTGTTATGAAAATTAATATTTCTGTTGTCGTAACCGAAAATATTCGTCCGAACATACAACGATATTAGAACTCGGTTGAGATAACTGAGAACAATCGACTATATAGAAGCCTCATAAATGAATTTTTCTACAACCGAATTTTCATCTGATCCCTGAGCAACCGAAAATTCAGTTGCAACGGAATTGTTTTTTTTTTTCGTGTAGTTTCTGGGAGAGGCAAACCAACTGTTTTGTATAAAATCATATTAAAAGATTGTGATAGTTTTACATTTCAGTAACTAGACAAAAATTAACGTAATGTTTTTATATCTGATTATATCTGAAATGCTACACATTAAAAGGCAGACTAACGGTTTAAATTGATAGACTGAACTTTTAGGTAACCTTTATCTGTTTATTGCAAATAATTTTAAATTTTAACCTACCAGACGTTTCAAATCAAAATATTTACTTTAACGAGATTTAAGTATCGAGCCGAGTGAGATGTTGTTATTAGAAGTTTATTATAATAAATCAACATACCAAAGGCATTATGTCCACAGCTAATAAACTTCTAATAACAACATCTCACTCGGCTCGATACTTAAATCTCGTTAAAGTAAATATTTTGATTTGAAACGTCTGGTAGGTTAAAATTTAAAATTATTTGCAATAAACAGATAAAGGTTGCCTAAAAGTTCAATCTATCGATTTAAACCGTTAGTCTGCCTTTTAATGTGTAGCATTTTAGATATAATCAGATATAAAAACAGTACGTTAATTTTTGTCTAGTAACTGAAATGTAAAACTACTTGTGGGACACCAATCAAAGTGTAATGTTTTTCCTGTGATGTTATTGCGTAGACAAGATGGTAAGAATCCGTTCACATATTATATAGTGAATTGCTTCAATCGTTGAATAAAATAATCGATTGTTTCACGTTGTGATGATTATGAAAACCTATCGTGGTAGCGATTACTAGCAGATTGAAATTTTCCATCTGAAGTGCAGTGTAGACGCGTTCGCGCAATAGATATCTAAAAATATTCGCGCAACGTAGTCGCGGGTGGAACTTCCGCGTTCTTCGTATTCCATTCAAAATGCAAAGAAACCCAAACTCTGGGAAGGAACAGCGAGGAATAAGAGAAAAATTCACACCTTAGCAGAAAGGCAGAAGCCAATCAGAACTCGCGCTGATAGTCGGATGGTAGTTGACGGATTTTTTATCAATGTAAGCTTGATTGTCTTCTGTCTGTTTTCTATTAAGATATGAATTTTCCTTAACCGTCATATCTAACCGAACAGCAGAAAAATTATGGACGAGAGAATATCGTTGAACAATAAGTGGCGTTATCGGAGGTGGCTTTGACGCATAGATAATTCGATCGAATTTTACGATGCGCGCACGATTATCAGCCGACCATAGCTTAACGTAAGCTTTAATTACAGTTGTTTGGCTTGCATTATCTTCATGATGACGATTATCTTATGCTCTTTCTTTTTCTTTCTCACTTACATACACACACACACACACGCGCGCGCGCTCTCTCTCTCTCTCTCTCTCTCTCTCTCACAACAGAATTTATTCGACGTTGCAAACGCTTCAAAGTGCCGTATAGACCAATCACAATCTTTCTTTACACGCTCTATAGCGTTTGTAGCCCCAAACAGATTCTACTCCTAGTCTAGTCCAGTGAATAGTCTATTAGTGAATATGTGCGCGGGCGTTGTGCTATTGTCGTTCTAACTTTAGAACATATTTTTGGCTGCGATTTGCCCTTCGAGACCGTTTTCTTTACAGCTTTGCTTGGCCTTACATTCATAGGCTTAAATAATGCTGCTGGAATGTCCGAAGTTGCATTCTGATCTTGCTACGCTTTGTTGGAGTCATCTGACGATGGCTTGACAGTTGAAGTTGATTTGGGTCGTGTTTATCTTGGCGGTCAATTCAGATGTCTGTATATCGGAATACAATTTCGTTGCTGAGACGTTTACTTTGTCCATATTTTCTGTGCTTCTAACATATATAATAGAGAGAAATATAGTAAATATATGTAAAAAGTATGTATATACTGATATTATATATATATATACACATATAATATTAGTAAATATATATATATATATACTTTTTACATATAATTAATATATTTCTACTATATATGTTAAAAGTACAGAAAATGTGTGTGTGTGTGTGTGTACATATATATATATATATATATATATATATATATATATATATATATATGTACACACACACACACAC